CAATATTTGACAAATAGTGTTTTCCTAACTCAAACAATGTGGGGTTTATTATTCTACACATATTCCTAATGTCTCTCAGGTGTTCACATTCACGTAGATAGTGGTCAAGGCGGTGTCCATCACTCTCACCACAGATTCTACAACTCCGCTGCTCAACTGTTGTTTCCATTCCGTATCGCCATGGATAGTTGTATCCAAGACGGATTCTTGCTATTACTGATTCTCTCCCTCGTCGTCCTCCTCTTCGTCCATAATGATTGTGATTGCCAGCTGCAACCATGTTGTACCATCGTACAGATTCACTGGTTTGTTCTTCTGTTCTCCATTCCTCAGTTACCTTGCCACGGTGATGTTGCCTGATGATACCTCTAATTTGTAGCAGTCTTGGGTATGAAGTATTCAGTTTGGTCTCTTTCAGAGACAATAGTTCAGTAGCCAGCACATCTGCTCGTTCATTTCCACAGATTCCAACATGGGAGGGGATCAGGTTATCTTGAGGTTATCTTGAAATGATTTCGGGGCTTTTAGTGTCCCCGCGGCCCGGTCCTCGACCAGGCCTCCACCCCCAGGAAGCAGCCCGTGACAGCTGACTAACACCCAGGTACCTATTTACTGCTAGGTAACAGGGGCATAGGGTGAAAGAAACTCTGCGAATTGTTTCTCGCCGGCGCCTGGGATCCAACCCAGGACCACAGGATCACAAGTCCAGCGTGCTGTCCGCTCGGCCGACAGGGTCAACAGGCTCTGTGGACAGGGTCCACAGAGCCTGTTGATTGACTGTTGAGAGGCGGGACCAAAGAACCAGAGCTCAACCCCCGCAAACACAACTAGTTGAGTACAGAAATTTAACGACTCTTCCCTAATTGGTTAGTACCCTCACAGCTCTCTTGATTTCAGTGATTATCGCAAGATTTTTTGCCTGATTTTTACTAAGGCTTTGTAGCGCTGGTTTTTGAATCAGTGCAGATCACTGCACCGTTAGTGTTTCAAAACTTCTCAAAATTAATGAGAAGAGTTGTGGCAGATGAGGATTGTAAGATCCTTCAAGAGGACCTGGACAGGTTGCAGAGATGGTCAGAGAAATGACTACTAGAGTTCAACACGAGCAAATGTAAAGTTATGGAATTGGAATTAGGTGATTGGAGAACAAAGGGACAGTACACAATGAAGGGGAACTGCGTACCTGTGACGATTCGAGAAAGAGACCTGGGCGTGGACATAACACCTAATCTATCTCCTGAGGCACATATAAATAGGATAACACCAGCAGATTACTCTACACTGGCAAAAGTTAGAACATCATTCAGAAACCTAAGTGAGGAGGCTTTTAGGGCACTTTTCACTGCCTACGTGAGACCAGTCTTAGAGTATGCCGCGCCATCTTGGAGTCCCCATCTGAAGAAACACATAAGGAAACTGGAAAACATTCAAAAATTTGCGACGAGGCTTGTCCCAGAGTTACGAGGGATAGGATACGAAGAGCGCCTGAAGGAACTGAACCTTACGACACTAGAAAAAAGAAGGGAGAGAGGGGGATATGATAGTAACGTATAAAATACTCAGGGGAATTGACAGAATGGAAATTAAAGAAATGTTCACACAGAATACCTAACAGAACGAGGGGACATGGGTAGAAGCTAGAAACTCAGATGAGTCACAGAGATGTTAGGAAGATTTCTTTTAACGTGAGAGTAGTGGGAAAATAGAATGCACTTAAGGAACAGGTTGTGGAAGCAAACTCTATTCATAATTTTAAAACTAGACATGATAGGGAAATAGGACCGGAGTCATTGTTGTAAACAACCGATGACTAGAAAGACGGGATCCAAGAGTCAATGCTCGATCCTGCAGGCACAAATAGGTAAGTACACACAGGCGCATCAACACCCCTCCACACACACACACACACACACACACACACACACACACACACACACACACACACACACACACACACACACACACACACACACACAGGGCCTCGTAGCCTGGTGGATAGCGCGCAGGACTCGTAATTCTGTGGCGCGGGTTCGATTCCCGCACGAGGCAGAAACAAATGGGCAAAGTTTCTTTCACCCTAAGTGCCCCTGTTACCTAGCAGTAAATAGGTACCTGGGAGTTAGTCAGCTGTCACGGGCTGCTTCCTGGGGTGTGTGTGTGTGTGTGGTGTGGAAAAAAAAAGTAATTAGTAAACAGTTGATTGACAGTTGAGAGGCGGGCCGAAAGAGCAAAGCTCAACCCCCGCAAAAACACAACTAGTAAACACAACTAGTAAACACACACACACACACACACACACACACACACACACACACACACACACACACACACACACACACACACACACACACATGCGACCAGGCAACAAAAATCAGGCAAGAGAGAGAGAGAGGGCTGGGCAGACTGCATATTTCTGGACTGCCAGAAAGCTTTTGACACAGTACCACATAAGAGAATAGTGCACAAACTGGAGATGCAGGCAGGAGTGAAAGGGAAGGTACTCCACTGGATAAGGGAGTACCTAAACAACAGGACACAACGAGTCACCGTGAGAGGTGAGGTCTCGGAGTGGCGGGGGAGTCACCAGTGGAGTTCCACAGGGATCAGTCCTTGGACCTATACTGTTTCTGATATACGTAAATGATCTCCCAGAAGGAATTGACTCGTTCCTCTCGATGTTTGTTGATGACGCAAAAATTATGAGGAGGATCAAGACAGAGGATAGTATGAGGCTACAAGATGACCTAGACAAACTGAAGGAATGGTCCGACAAATGGCTACTAAAGTTCAACCCAAGTAAATGTAAGGTAATGAAACTAGGAGGAAGAACTATGAGGCCAGTCACTGGATACCGAATGGGAGATAAAGTCCTTCACGAAACGGACAGAGAGAAAGATCTAGGAGTTGATATCACGCCAAACCTGTCTCCTGAAGCCCACATCAAAAGAATAATATCAGCGGCCTATGCTAGGCTGGCTAACATCAGAACTGCTTTCAGAAACCTGTGTAAGGAATCCTTCAGAACCTTGCATACCACATATGTAAGACCAATCCTGGAGTATGCGGCCCGAGTCTTGTCAAGCACAAGACGAAACTGGAAAAAGTTCAGAGGTATGCCACTAGGCTAGTCCCAGAACTAAGAGGCATGAGTCATGAGGACAGACTACGTGAACTGCACCTCACGTCGCTGGAAGACAGAAGAGCTAGGGGAGACATGATCACCACATATAAAATTCTTAGGGGAATTGACAGGGTGGACAAGGATGGATTATTTAACACGGGTGGCACATGCACAAGGGGACACAGGTGGAAACTGAGTACCCAAATGAGCCACAGGGACGTTATAAAGAATTTTTTCAGTGTCAGAGTAGTTAACAGTTGGAATGCATTAGGCAGAGATGTGATGGAGGCGGATTCCATACACACCTTTAAATGTAGATATGACAGAGTCCAGTAGGCTCAGGAACCTGTACACCAGTTTTTTGACAGTGAGAGGCGGGACTAAAGAGCCAAAGCTCAACCCCCGCAAGCACAAGTAGGTGAGTACACACACACACACATACACATACACACATACAGACACACACACACTCAACACCCCCCCCCACACACACACTCACTCAACACCCCCCCCCACACACACACACACACTCAACACCTCCCCCCCCCCACACACACACACACTCAACACCCCCCTCCACACACACCACTGGCCGTGTTTACAAGAAGAGAGGAAGGGAAGAGTGTCCCAGGGGCCGCGGGTGGAGGCCCCGTGCCCAACAGGCTCCTACAGCTACCCGCTCCCACATTCATAGCCGCCTCCTCTACCTCCGCAATCTTTGTCCTAATTACCGGCGCTATTCATCGGGGCGAAGAGTACGTGATGAAGCTGCCGGACGCTGTCCTCACTCTCCTCGCTTCTGTAATAAATAATAACATTTTATTTATATAAATGTGTATTTTGATACATTAAATAGTGGGCCATAGACGGTCTACACCCTGATGTAGACGGTCTACACCCTGATGTAGACGGTCTACACCCGGATGTTGACGGTCTACACCCTGATGTAGACGGTCTACACCCTGATGTAGACGGTCTACACCCTGATGTAGACGGTCTACACCCTGATGTTGACGGTCTACACCCTGATGTAGACGGTCTACACCCTGATGTAGACGGTCTACACCCTGATGTAGACGGTCTACACCCGGATGTTGACGGTCTACACCCTGATGTAGACGGTCTACACCCTGATGTAGACGGTCTACACCCTGATGTTGACGGTCTACACCCTGATGTTGACGGTCTACACCCTGATGTAGACGGTCTACACCCTGATGTAGACGGTCTACACCCTGATGTAGACGGTCTACACCCTGATGTTGACGGTCTACACCCTGATGTAGACGGTCTACACCCTGATGTAGACGGTCTACACCCTGATGTAGACGGTCTACACCCTGATGTAGACGGTCTACACCCTGATGTAGACGGTCTACACCCTGATGTAGACGGTCTACACCCTGATGTAGACGGTCTACACCCTGATGTAGACGGTCTACACCCTGATGTAGACGGTCTACACCCTGATGTAGACGGTCTACACCCTGATGTAGACGGTCTACACCCTGATGTAGACGGTCTACACCCTGATGTAGACGGTCTACACCCTGATGTAGACGGTCTACACCCTGATGTAGACGGTCTACACCCTGATGTTGACGGTCTACACCCTGATGTAGACGGTCTACACCCTGATGTAGACGGTCTACACCCTGATGTAGACGGTCTACACCCTGATGTAGACGGTCTACACCCTGATGTAGACGGTCTACACCCTGATGTAGACGGTCTACACCCGGGACAACCCCTGGTGTAGACCAGGCCGTGTGGATCCTCCTTATCACAGATTATGTGGGTTTTATGGTGCCCTCAAGGACCCTGGCCCCCGTGGCTCTCCTACATCATCATCTTCACCTTCATCATCCTCATTATAACGTTAATCATCATCACCATCATCATCCTCATTATCACCATCATCCTCATTATCACTATCATCCTCATTATCACCACCATCATCCTCATTATCACTATCATCCTCATTATCTCTTTCATCATCCTCATTATCACCATCATCCTCATTATCACCTTCATCATCCTCATTATCACCATCATCCTCATTATCACCTTCATAATCCTCATTATCACCATCATCCTCATTATCACCATCATCTTCATTATCACCTTCATCCTCATTATCACCTTCATCATCCTCATTATCACCTTCATCATCCTCATTATCACCTTCATCATCCTCATTATCACCATCATCCTCATTATCACCATCCTCATCCTCATTATCACCATCCTCATTATCACCATCATCCTCATTATCACCTTCATCATCCTCATTATCACCATCATCAGCCTCATTATCACCATCATCCTCATTATCACCATCCTCATTATCACCATCATCCTCATTATCACCTTCATCATCCTCATTATCACCATCATCATCCTCATTATCACCATCATCCTCATTATCACCATCATCATCCTCATTATCACCATCCTCATTATCACCATCATCATCATCATTATCACCTTCATCATCCTCATTATCACCATCATCACCGTCATCATTCTCATGTTAAGAACATAAGAATGAAGGCAAGAGCGGAAGGCTTATTGGTCCATACGAGGCAGCTCCTATTTATAACCACCCAATTTCTTCATATATATGTCTAACTTACGCTTGAAACAATCAAGGGACCCCTACTTCTATTACGTTACGTGGTAATTGGTTCCTCAAATAAAGAAGCCTGTTACCGAACCAGTATTTACCCAGGTCTTTCCCAAGTCTAAACTTTTCCAATTTATAGCCATTGTTTCGTGTTCTGTGTTGTATTGATACTTTTAATACCCCGATTAATATCCCCCTTTGTTATGTCCATTCATCCACTTGTTAACCTCTATCATGTCACCCCTAATTCTTTGCCTCTCTGGAGAATGTAATTTAAGCTTTGTCAATCTTTTTTCATATGACAGGTTTATAATTTGGGGGATTAACTTAGTCATCCTACGCTGGACACGTTCAAGTGATTTTATATCACATCTATAGTACAGCGACCAAACCTGAACTGTATCTTGAGGTTATCTTGAGATGATTTCGGGGCTTTTAGTGTCCCCGCGGCCCGGTCCTCGACCAGGCCTCCACCCCCAGGAAGCAGCCCGTGACAGCTGACTAACACCCAGGTACCTATTTTACTGCTAGGTAACAGGGGCATAGGGTGAAAGAAACTCTGCGAATTGTTTCTCGCCGGCGCCTGGGATTGAACCCAGGACCACAGGATCACAACTCCCGCGTGCTGTCCGCGCTCGGCCGACCGGCTCCCTGTATAATCTAAATGGGGCCTAACCAGAGCAAGATATAGCTGAAGAACCACACCAGGTGTCTTGTTACTAACGCTTCCATTAATAAATCCAAGTGTCCTATTCGCCTTATTACGAACATTCATGCATTGATCTTTTGATTTTAAATTCTTACTAATTATAACTCCCAGATCCCTTTCACAATCCGACTTCGCAAACGGAATCAACAATTTATTATCACCATCATCCTCATCATCACCATCCCCATCCTCATTATCAAATTAATCATCCTTATCACCTTCATCCTCACCATCATCACCATTGCAACGTTGCACTACAATCTGAGGCAAGACACTTGTCTAAGGGTTAGCAGTGATTTTGGTCGTAGTGATATTGGTTGACACCCTTTCTCTGCCTTCTTCCTCCCCCCCTTTCTCTGCCTTCTTCCTCCCCCCCTTTCTCTGCCTTCTTCCTCCCCCCCTTTCTCTGCCTTCTCCCTCCCCCCCTTTCTCTGCCTTCTCCCTCCCCCGTTTCTCTGCCTTCTTCCTCCCCCCGTTTCTCTGCCTTCTTCCTCACCCCCCTTTCTCTGCCTTCTCCCTCCCCCCCCTTTCTCTGCCTTCTCCCTCCCCCCTTTCTCTGCCTTCTCCCTCCCCCCCCCCTTTCTCTGCCTTCTCCCTCCCCCCGTTTCTCTGCCTTCTTCCTCCCCCCCCCTGGCCCAGGTCACCGGGACAGCTTCATATATAACATGAAGAGCCATTGTTCCTCTCCGGGCCGCTGGGAGCCTGGTTTGATTATTATAACCTGCCTCGTTGTGCGCTGATCACCTGCTGAGGTGATCACCTGCTGAGGTGGTCACCTGCTGAGGTGATCACCTGCTGAGGTGGTCAACTGCTGAGGTGGTCACCTGCTGAGGTGGTCACCTGCTGAGGTGGTCACCTGCTGAGGTGGTCACCTGCTGAGGTGGTCACCTGCTGAGGTGATCACCTGCTGAGGTGGTCACCTGCTGAGGTGGTCACCTGCTGAGGTGGTCACCTGCTGAGGTGGTCACCTGCTGAGGTGATCACCTGCTGAGGTGGTCACCTGCTGAGGTGGTCAACTGCTGAGGTGGTCACCTGCTGAGGTGATCACCTGCTGAGGTGGTCACCTGCTGAGGTGATCACCTGCTGAGGTGGTCACCTGCTGAGGTGGTCACCTGCTGAGGTGATCACCTGCTGAGGTGATCACCTGCTGAGGTGATCACCTGCTGAGGTGATCACCTGCTGAGGTGATCACCTGCTGAGGTGATCACCTGCTGAGGTGGTCACCTGCTGAGGTGGTCACCTGCTGAGGTGATCACCTGCTGAGGTGATCACCTGCTGAGGTGATCACCTGCTGAGGTGATCACCTGCTGAGGTGATCACCTGCTGAGGTGTTCAGATGCTGAGGTGGTCACCTGCTGAGGTGATCACCTGCTGAGGTGATCACCTGCTGAGGTGATCACCTGCTGAGGTGTTCAGATGCTGAGGTGGTCACCTGCTGAGGTGATCACCTGCTGAGGTGGTCACCTGCTGAGGTGCCCGCTGATCAGCTGTTTTGGCTAAAACAAAAACAGTCATGTCACTATTAATTTGGTAGAGATGAGTGAATGAGGTGGAGGTGCAGTCAGTCGGGTCTATTATACAACATGCATACTACATGAGACCTAACATACCTTACATTAGGCTCATGTTTATGTTCCACTAGCACCTCACGGCTGGCTGGACACCGCTCCGCATTCCTTGTCTTTAGGTTCCGGGTTCGATCCCCGGTGGAGGCGGAAACCGATGGGCAGAGTTTCTTTCACCCTCATGCACCTGTTCACCTAGCAGTAAACAGGTACCTGGGAGTTAGACAGCTGCTACGGGCTGCTTCCAGGGGGTGTGTAACAAAAAAGGAGGCCTGGTTGAGGACCGGGCCGCAGGGACGCTAAGCCCCGAAATCATCTCAAGATAGGACGGGATAGGTTAGATTGGTGGTACTGTTCCTCCTTTTTAGAGTTGTCAGCAGTACAGAAGTACGTTGTGGGTACAACAGTCCGTTTTTGTACGTTCAGTCAATAGTTGCTGTGAGTACTATCATATGTGGAGGCTGGGGCTGTGTCATCCACCACGGTCATTAATTGATCGTTACTGTCTCCTTTAAACACAGAATAACATTCCGGTAATATAATGAATCATATATATATATATATATATATATATATATATATATATATATATATATATATTTATATATATATATATATATATATATATATATATATATATATATATATATATATATATATATATATATATATATATATATATATATGCAGAAAATCCACAGAGAAATATGAAAGGAAGTGAATCGCCCCATTCCAGTTAAGTGTGTGATCGCATAAATTCGTGTGCAGATACAATGCACTAGACGTTTGGGCAGTTGTAATACTATAAGCATGTTGTGACAACCGCAATTGTAAGGACTTTCCTGTTTGTCCAAGGTACACACAATCACAATCATTGCAGGGAATCGAATACACACAACCTGCTGTATCAGGGAATTTTTTTTTTAAATTGGACTTGATCGTACTATTAGTGAACACCAAATTGATATTAAGTTTCTTAAAAATCAAAGACAGTTTTTCAAGTCCACTCGCATAAGGTACCACCAATGAGTTAATAATTTCTGGTTTCGCCTTAGGGACGTGATTATAAAACGTGCGCTTGGGTTTTTCAAACGAGAAATCCAAAAACATCTTAGGATATTGTAAATTATTCCCAATTTCATATATTTTAGCAATCTCTTCATCAAAAAACTCAGGGCTGCATACCCTCAAAGCTCGTAGAAACATTCCTGAAAATACTGCATGTTTAACTTTACTATGGTGATTCGAATAATAATGAACAAACGACCCCACGTTAATAGGTTTCCTATAGACATTAAATTTGAACTTTTTAGTGACTCTATGAATCATAATGTCCAAAAACGGAAGAGTACCATTCTCCTCAGTCTCACAAGTGAATTTTATTGAAGGTACCAAAGAATTGAGTTCATTAAGAAAAACTATCTGGTCTTTGTCGCACGGTCATAAGCACAAAATATCATCAACATACCTAAACCAAACTACATTAGCCGGGATAATCCTGGATAAGATTTTGGTTTCGAAGAATTCCATGTACAAATTGCTCAAAACTGGGGAAAGGGAGATTGCCCATCGCCATTCCAAATGTTTGTTTGAAATTTTTTCCATTAAAACTAAAATAATTGTCTTTTATACACAATTTGATAAGTTCCAATACTTTATTGGTCTGCAAGCTCAAATTATATTTGGGCAGTTCCTCACGTAGGAATTCTAATTCTACCTGCATTTTACTTTTTCTAAACAGAAAAAGAAATCATAGTACAATAAAAGTGTGTGTGTTGGCGGGTGGAGACCAGGGGCGAGATTCACGAAGCAGTTACGCAAGCACTTACGAACCTGTACATCTTTTCTCAATCTTTGGCGGCTTGGTTTACAATTATTAAACAGTTATTCAGCTCGGAAGCACCAGGAGGCTGTTATTAACAATAACAACAGTTGATTGGGAAGTTTTCATGCTTGCAAACTGTTTAATAAATGTAACCAAAGCCGTCAAAAATTGTGGAAAGATGTACACGTTCGTAAGTGCTTGCGTAACTGATTAGTGAATCTGGCTCCAGAGGCTCGGGGCTAGCCCCACCCAGCTTTCCAAGGTGACATGGTGGATGGAGTATGGGAGTGTGAGGGAGCGGGGGGGGGGGGGCTAGCACATAGTGACACACTGGGAGAAGTGTCGCCATCTCCACCAAACACACCTGCCTTTATCCTCAAGTCTGAAGTACTGGGTGTGTTTTCCCTAGAGTTATTTAGCAGTTTTAGAGCGTCGTAATGTTACATTTTGAGAGGGTGGTGGAGGAGAAGGGGGGGTGGGGGGTAAGGAGGAAAACATACCCGGGCACCACCGGGTACCTCTTCACGTATATTCTATAATAAATATATAACAGCAGACCTTAAACACCTCTACTACCCCAGCTTTAAGACTGAGTATACAAACATTAACATTTATTAGTGTTAATTTTTTGGAAAATATCATTTTTTGTTGATCATTATGTTCAAAATTACGCCGTTGTCAGTAGGCTTGGACGACTACAGTCTGGGGCAGGGTTGGGGTCGTCCACAGCTTAGACGGCCACAGTCTGGGGCAGTGTTGGGGTCGTCCACAGCTTGGACGGCCACAGTCTGGGGCAGG